TACTCTGCTACCGATAATATTGGATTTTCACCAAAGACACGATCCTTATTAGAAAAGGGACAATGTTGGAATTCCAATTTAGAAAAGTAAAGACATACACCGCTGAAAACTGTTCTCACAACGATGGTAATGCAGTTCCATACACTTATAAAGTTTTTCTCAGTGATTATAGATGGCGCTGAACACCAGTTGACAAACAGACTAAACTGCTCTATCATTTTTAACTTGCTTATCAACAATATGTTTAAATTCAAATACCTCTTCCTAGCTATTCCCTAATATGGTAATGCAGTTATAGAAGTTTATAACGAGTTTTTCAAACAAAGGGCGTTGCCTAGATGGCGCTTATTGTATTAGTGTATTTTTGTCAATTGACACATTTTCTTCTATTCATATAAAAGAGGAAAATGTTTGTACATTTGAATGTTCCTTCAAAGTTCCGCACATACTATAGTACCCCCTGAAAGTAATATAGGCTATTTATATTTTTTAAATTCCACTTGGAACTGGAGATTCAGCATCAGATAGATACAGACTTTAAGGTTAGATTGTGTAACGGAATTTGGTATAAAAAAATTTGACAAATTATAGTGAAATGTGTTCAGATTTGGATGTAGCTCCCATATGCATATACTCGGCCGAATTCATGTTTTTGATGCACCAAACTCACTGTTTGCAATTACATTTGGAATATGTATCGGAATTGGTCCAAAAAAATATTTGCCAAATTTTATTGAAATCAGTTTATATAATTTGTAGCATCAAACAAGCTATGTTTCCACAATTTCAATGAAATTTGGAATATTTTATATTAAAATCGATTCAGATTTGGATATAGTTCCTATATAAACTTTTCGGCCGATTTTGGGTACTTGATGCACCAAACGCGCTATATATCTCCAATTTAAATGAAATTTGGAATGAGTGACGGAATTGGTCTAAAAAAAGTTTAGTCCATTTATAATGAAACCGGGTTAGATTTGGACATTATTTTATTAAGAAACATAGACCCACCATGCCTTTATAATGGTGCAATGCTAACAGAACAATTTAAATGAGTCTACTTTTATTATGTGGAAGTATGTAGCTTCAGATGTGTTTCTACCTCGAATCCCTCTAATAGCAACAGAAATACCATTCAACTTTAAAAGATTGCAGTTCATTTTTTAATGTAAGTCTGGGAACAAAAGAAATGTACAAACTTCAAAAGTACAATAAAAAGTATACATTTCCGTTTATTTTCGTTTTCATTCGAATTCGCCGCAATTTTTTTTTATATTTTTACTGTCTAATTGCCCGTCTGTGTTTTGGAAAATTTGATTGAATTCGGTTTGTTAGTAGAGCTCCTGCAATAAAAGAATTTATTTGAAGTATTTTAAGTAGATCATACCACTTATTAATCTTTGGCTTTAGAGCAGTTATAATTTTTTTTTCAGAGGGAACTTATATCGAATCGATTTTTACTAAATTTGAGGTAGACATTCTTATACCAAATAGGATTGTTATAGAATGCATGATATCACTTCGAGAAAGGTTATATTAAAACCCAGTAAAGATAGTCTTAAAGTCCGGCGGGGCCGACTTTATGATACCCTACACCACTTTCCTAATTTACTAGAGCTCCACATAACAATTGAAAGTTTTTGAACTCTCCAATCATACAAGCTATGATTATAATTATAATTTAAAGTTCAAAGGACTAAACATGCCTAAGCATTTTTATCTTTTAAATTCGGACTTGTATTGCCCATTTGGTGCACAATTAATTTGAAATCGGATAAATATATATATGGGAGCTATATCTGAATCTGAGCTGTATTTGATATATATCCATGAATATCGATGTTACGGAGTGCATATTACGATTGTGGGTAACATATATAACAAATCGGATGAATAATATATATGGGAGCTATAGCTATATCTGAACCGAATTTCACCAAATTTGGCATACTAGCTTCTAGACTTAATTCGGTCGAAAGTGCTAAATTCCATCCCATTTGGACGAATATTAGACGTTTGGTGCACAATAAAAATCGTACGAAGTTATATATGGGATCTATATCCAAATCTGAACCGATCTCGATAAAATTTAGCAAATGCATTTCTGAGCTGTATTTGCTATATTTCCCCAAATATTGTTGTTACAGAGTGCATACTACGGTTGCGGAGGACAAAAAAAAAAACAAATCAGATGAACAATATATATAGCTATATCTGAACCGATTTCGATCAAATTTGGCATACTCATTCTCAGGCCTAATTTGGTTGTATTGCATACTATGATATTACACGTTTGGTGCACAATAAAAGGCAAATCGGACGAAGATATATATGGGAGCTATATCTAAATTTTGATAGATTTTCACCACTTTCAATAGGGTTCGTCGTTGGGCCAAACAAATGATCTGTGAAAACTTTCATCTGGATAGGGCAATAAATGCGAACTGTACTTTGTTTACAAAAATACATGGACAGACGGATAGACAGACGGACGGACGGACAGACATGCATAAATCGACTCAGAATGTGATTCTATGCAGATCATCAAAAGGAACTATGGGTCTATCTCGTCTCCTTTTGCCTGTTACAAACAAAGGAACAAAGACATAATACCCTGACCACTTTGTGGTGTAGGGTATAAATATAGGTAGCAGCCGAGTTCCACCAAATGGAAACGTTCGTCCCGAAAGTCATTCCATTCCAATTTTTTGCACAATAAACCTGAAATCGGATTAAGGATATAAATCGGAGCTATATCCAAATCTGAGCCCATGTCGATAAAATTTGGCAAAGGTATTTCCGAGCTCTATAAGATATCTGGTACCAAATATCATTTTTGTCGAGTGCATATAACAAATATGAGGGAGTTAAAGACCAAATCAGATTGCTTCTGGACTGAATTCGGTCAGATGTGCCAAAATGCAGGTCATTTCGACTGATTTTAGTCATCTGGTGCATAATTAACCCGAAATCGGTTGAAGATATATATGTGAGCTATATCCAAATCTGAACCAATCTTGATAAAATTTCTAGGTGTATCTGATATCTGGTACCAAATATCATTCTTGTGCAGTTACATATTACGAATGTGAGGGATTTAAACACCAAATCGTATGAAGCATATATATATATGAGCAATAGCTATATCTCAACAGATTTTCACCAAATTTGATGTACTTGCTGCTAGACTAAATTCGGTCGGATGTGCCAAAATTTGTACTGAAATTGGCCATTTGGTGCACAATTAACCCAAAACCGGTTGAAGATATATATTAGAGCTATATCTAAATTTGAACCGATTTACTGGGCCTCAATTCTTGTTCTATGAAAATGTGAAATGAAAACTTTTATAAAGAGAAGAAATGTCAAATGAGAAATTTTATAAAGGAAATTTTCTTTATTTCATATTTTCATAGAACAAGAATCAAGCCCCTGGTTTATAGGATGAATTCTGTCGGACTTGCCAAAATGCAGTCCATTTGGGCTTATATTATCCATTTGGTGCACAATAAACCTAATCTGGACCGATCATGATAAAATTTGACAGATTTTTTTCGAGCAGTATATGATGTCCGGAACCAAATATTATTCTTCTGGAGTGCATATTACGCATGTGAGGGGCTTAAAACCCCGAATCAGATGAAACATCTGAACCGATTTTCTCCAAATTTGATTTATTTGTTTCTAAACTCAGTTCAGTGGGATGTATCAACATACAATTGGTGCACAATTAACCCGAAATCGGTTGAAGATATATGGTAGCTATATTTAAATCTGTTCCGATTTTCACCACTTTCGATAGGGTTCGTCTGTTGTAATCACGCTATATTTCGAACGAATTGAGATAGAAGGCTAGAATTTTGCACATATGTTTATTTTTCCAGTAGACAGTTAAGAAGTTAGAAGATGACAGTTAAGTTCGTAAATGTGCCATGTAGGTCCACGTTTTCATATAGCCCCCATATAACGGTACCTCCAGATATTTGGTATTTTGATGATTTTAGCGATATTATTTCACGGAATTGTTTCAAATTTGGTATTTGAAGTTCGTAATGAAAACTACAGCCTAAGACAGAAAATTGTTTGTGCAGGTCCACGTCTTCGTATAGCCCCCCTATAACTGTACCTCCCAATATTCGGTATTTTGATAATTTTAGCGTCATTATTCACCAGAATTGTTTCAAATTACATATTTAGAGTTCGTAATAGGAACTACAGTCAGTTACATAAAATTGTCTAGACCTCATACATCAGTACTTCCCTATATTCGGTATTTTGACGATTTTAGGTACAATACCCACCGAAATTGTTTGAGTTGTCATATTTGAAGTTCGCATTGGATGCTACAGCCTGTGACAGAAAATTGTCTATGCTGGTCCAGGTCTTCGCACAGCTCCGATATAACGGTACCTCCCTATATACCATATTTTGATGATTTTAGCTTCACCGTTTATTTCAAGTTTCGAATTTAAATATGGCTTATGACAACGAATGCCTATGTAGGTCCACGTCGCATAGACCCCAATAGAATGGATATATTCGGTATTTTTAAAATTTTAACAGAATTTTTTTAAGTATTTTATTTTTTGAAAATTTCCAAATTTGATCCAAATGGTGGAGGGTATTCAAAGTTCGGCCCGGCCAAACTTACTGCTTTTTAACTTGTTAACTCTACTTTCATAATCTGTCAATTTTTTCCTGTAATTTTTGAAAATTTTTAATTTTGTCGCACACTGTTATCTGATAGTAACGGCAACATCGAAATATTTTTGACGGCTAGCTTTATTTTGTTCCAAATCCTATGGCGTTGGGTCTTAAAATAAAAACCAAAGCGGAAACACTACCCTTATTGTAGAACAGCATTTTTTTCATTTTAACAGTATCCTCTGCCATAATATATATGTGGCTTTCAAGTCTCTCACACAAAGCTTTTACACACAACAGGACAGCTTTCAATATGACACGGCTGTGTCGTTATTTCAGAACTCTCAGTTCGTTGTCAACGGTTGTACGCGCGTGTTGTAATTTCGAACTGTAGCAGGCACAACTGAAGGAATTCGGAATATTACAACTACAAAAGAAAATTTCTTTTTTTACAAAGAAGAAAAGGGAGCATTGCTCGGGACAAACAGATTTTAAAAATTTGTGTGTAAGCAAATCTGTGGAAATAGTGAATTTTCTAAAAAAAAAATCCATAAATATATTTGGAAATAAGCAAATCAAATAGATCTAAAACGAAAAATGCAGATTATGTAGCAGTGAATGAAAGTTATATAAAAATAATCTAAAAGTGTATATCTAGGATTTGTAATTTCCCCCCCGCACCAACAGGACCTCCACAACCACCACCACCACCACCACCGCAGGAAAAATAACAACGAAGTATCATCTAAAAAACCAGGTGAATGAAAGTGGAACATGAATATTTTTTTTTTACGAAAAACAAAATCCTAAAACGGAAACACCTACAAAAGACTCAAATATCTACACCAACAACACAAAGAAAAAACTAACAAAAATTTGCCCATAAAGTTTTCCATAATTTGTTAGGAAAACCACACCAAATGGCCATAAAGAAAAGTGTGTCCTAACAATAAATAATTCGACTATCAGCAACACCCCACACCCCAACTCCAACCACTCAACAACTCCCCCACAATACAGCAACACATTTTGGCCCCATGACTGTCCACCAACAACAAAACAACAAAAACAATAATGCGAACAATATAATTATTTTGGTATTTGCGTGAGTTGTAATGAAGACGAAGACAAGACCCACTCTGACAAAAAGGGAAAGAATTCACCATGAAATCATACCTCCTTGATTAGTTACATTCAACAATTATACTAACCCGACATCGACGACGACGATGACGACAACGGCGAAGTAGACGTTCTACCCGCCAAGAAAACAAAAAGGAAAACAAGATAGGAAGACAACAACTTAAAGCCTTAACATGAAAAACAACACACATACATACCTGCTGAAAACTTGTGCTTTAACTTTTTCCTTTGTATAACTCGGAGCGGGGTCCAAGGGCGGGGGTGGTTGTAAATAAGATTTAGTCCTTATTTTATCCTCGGGCTGTATACGACCGTGTATGTGTGTGGGGTTGCTATCGATTTTCCCGCCACAACTTGTTATACATACACAATTTACACACATACGCACACAGCGGCGAAGATTTCGACGACCCAACGACCGAGTTTTACGCACAGCAGTGCCCCAAAGTTGTAGACTGCCATCAGCACCAGTACCATAACCACAGCTGCAGCAGGCAACATCAGCTCCACCAGTAACAGTTACAAAAGTGTATCTGTTGCCATTTCAAGTCAAATAAAAACCACCCCAACCCCCTGACAATTTCCCTGTAATCAATACACACAATGAAAACAAATGTGTTACTCTAAGGATAACCTTTTTTCATAGAATTATGGACTGAAAGTTAGCAAACAAACAAAATTCCTTTTGATCTTTTTGGGGGATGGGGAAAGGGGGTTGAATGATGTGGCGTAGCTAATGTTTAGGAATTTTTAAACAACAGGTTTTGGTTTTCAATAGTTTAGTCTTAGTCACAACCAGAAGATACATGGTATGTACCACTAAGAGGGGGCGACAAGTCAATTAGTGGGTCTCTTAAAAAGACCGGACTTGAATTGCATTGGAAGGTCATGAGAAGATATTTAAAAATCAAACACGGGAATATTTTGAAAGCAAGTTCTTCATATAAGATCCAAGGGATTGTATATGAACCAAGCCAAGGAGCGAGAACGGAACATATACACTACAGTCAGTAGAGTACTTATAAATATAAAAGAAATCAGTAGTTATAGACTACCTAGAGATATTACAGGCGACATATAGAAGACCAAAATATGGCAAAAAAGAATTTTTATACATGCAACTCAATAGAGCATTTCTGGGAACCTGAGAAAATAGTACTTATATTCCTAACTTTCTGATCAGAAAAGTTAATTGTTTCTAGTTTTCTCACTGCCACATTTTACCACACCTCACCTTGTACTTAATACGAAATATTTCTAGTTTTAGTGTCACTAATTAAACTACCTCATAAGATATCCTCCAAAGGCAATCATAATGCAATCTGTGCCGAATTCTACAGAGAAAATTTAGTTGCTACCCTTTACATAACCGAACAAGTAAGCATAGGCTATAGCCGTGCGGGGCCGGCCATGTGATACCCTACAAACACTACAATATGTTAGAAGCCCCCTTATGTCCAAATCCATTTTGGAAGATTTCGCTTTTGAAATTCTGTGCTAAACCCTAACTTCATGCGAGATTTCGTGTCCTTTGGTTTCCATTTGTCACCTTTATATCGGCTGCAAAAAAATGTTTAGTTGTTGGTTCATTTCAACCCCCAAAACATATTGCGGACATCTTTGAAAACAATAGGCCTAGCCTTTCTGAGCCTCACCCTACCCTTGTAAAAATTTTCGCGAGGATCGGACGATAATTGCAATATGTATATAATAACCCCAACCTGTGTTGTAAGGTGAAAAAATATTACAAAATATACACTTCATTATTATAAGTCAAATTTAAAAAATCGCATGCAATAAAAAATATGAAAAAATAAAAAAAAAATGTCACAAAATACTACAACGTCTATATTAACATCATTATTGGAATCATTTAATGCGATTTTTTAGATTTTATACTTTTATGCCAAGAGGGTATTCTGATTTGACAAAATTTGTCCAAATCGGTCCAGCAATTCTTGAGATATAAGCATTTTAGTTAACATCCCCTTCCTTTGTATATACACATTGTATATATTTCGCTATATATCCGATATGTTTACTATCAGCATCTATGTAACGATCAGAATTGACCTTTTCGTCTATTTGTGATTTTGCCGGGATTAAAAATATTCGCGGTTTAATGGAAAATTTGACTTGTATTTAACACAAATTTTATGGTATATTTCTCGCACTAAATATTAACCGATGACCATCAAAATTGGAAGGCTTCTATCCAGCCCTAAGCTCTAGCCACTTGCTAACTTTCCGTTCGATTGGTCTATAATATAATATAATATTATGAGATTATCTCCAAGCAATAGGCTCCTATTCTTTAACAAATGATCAAAGTGACTTTCCACAGCTGGCCAGAAAAGACTCTTCTTGGACGACGAAAGTGAATTTTTAGAAAGCAAGAAAGGAGTCTTCTTGATTAGCAATGTGACAAACAAAAACCAGTAAGGAAAAGTCAAAAGTCGGGCGGAGTCGACTATATGATATCCTACACCACTATGCAAATTTAGTAGAGCTCCCGTAACAAAAGAATTTATTTCAAATAGATCATAATGCCTATCAACATTTGGCTATAGAGCACTTTTAGTTGACTATAGAGTGCATAATATAACTTGGAGAAGGATTATATTAAAAACAAGTAAAAAAGCAGTAAGTTCGGCCGGGACGAACTTTGAATACCCTCCACCATTTGGAAAAGTCATCAAAATATGGGGGCTATACGATATCGTGGACATATATAAACAATTCTCTTTCAAGGGATAAAGTACTCACGAGGAACTCGTTGTGTGGATTTTCAGACCTTTCCATTGGAATATGGCTAAAATCATCAAAATACCGAATATCGGGGGTACCGTTATATGGGAGCTATTCGATATCGTGGACCTATATAGAAAATTCTCTTTCAGGGAGTAAAGTTCTCACAGAGAACTCTTTGTGTGGATTTTCAGACTATTCCATTAGAATATGTGGTTAAAATCATCAAAATACCGAATGTCGGGGGGATACGTTTATATGGGGGACCTATATAGACAATTCTCTTTTAGGGAACAAAGTGCTCACAAAGAACTCCTAGTGTGGATTTTCAGACTATTCCATTGGAAAATGTGGCTAAAATCATCAAAATACTGGATATCGGGGGTACTGTTAAATGGGGGCTATATGATATCGTGGACCGATATAGCCCATCTTCGAACTTGACCTGCCTGCAGACAAAAGAGGGATCTGTGCAAAATTTTAGCTTTATATCTTAACTCGTTTTGACTGTAGCGTGATTACAACAGACGGACAGACAGTGCTAAATCGTCTTAGAATTTTACGCTGATCAAGAATATATATACTTTGTTGGGCCTAAAATGATTATTTCGATGAGTTACAAACGGAATGACGAACTTAATATACCCTCCACCCTATGTATGGTGGAGGGTATAAAAATATATATCGGAGCCAAGTTGCACAAAATGCAATCGTACGTCCCGAAATTCATTCCATTTGGGCTGATATTAGCCATTATTTGCACAATAAACCTGAAATCGTATTAAGGATATATATGGGAGCTATATCCAAATCTTAGCAGTTCTCGATAAAATTTGGCAACAGTCGAATGCATTTTATGAATTTGAGGGACTTAAACACCAAATCGGATGAAACATATATATGGGAGCTATAACTATATCTGAACCGATTTTCCCTGAATTCGATGTACTTGCTTCTAGACTGAATTTGGTCGGATGTACCAAAATTCAGGACTTTTTGACAGATATTGGCCAATTGGTGCACAATTAAACCGAAATCGGTTGAAGATATATATGGGATCTTTATCAAAATCTAAACCGATCTTGATAATATTTGGCAGAGGTATTTTGGGGTAGTATCTGATATCTGGTACCAAAGATCATTGTTGTGGAATACATATTACGCTTGTGAGGGAGTTTAAACCCCAAATCGGATAAAACGTGTATATGGGAGCTATATCTATATCAGAACCGATTTACACCAAATTACAAAAGTACTGCTTTACAGGATGAATTCAATCGTAATTGCCAAAATTCAGTCCATTTGGGCTGATATTAGCCATTTGTTGCACAGTAAACCTGATATGAGATAAAGATATATATATATATATATAGATATATATGGGAGCTATATCCTAATTTGAACCGATCTCTATAAAATTTAACAGATATCAATATCATTCTTCGGGAGTGCATAATACGCATGTGAGGGACTTTAACCCCCAAATGGGATGATGATGTGGGACCTACAGGTATATCTGAACCGATTTTCTCCTAATTCGATGTGCTTGCTTCTAGACTGATGTTGGTCGGATGTACCAAAATGCAGGAGTTTTGGACTGATATTGGCCAATTGGTGCACAATTAAACCGTAATCGGTTGAAGATATATGGGAGCTATATATAATCTGACGGGCACACTTAGAAAAAAGTTGTAAGCAGCTGGTAGCTATATCTTACTTTTTATTGTTCCATGGCAGAAAGTATTTCGAATTTGGATCCTCATTGCATGAAAAACATGATATACAAAAACTACACAGTATCATTTCACATTAGGAAAATAACCTTATATGGAGGTAACAACATTAAGGCAGAGAACATTCACGCTA